CATTTTCCTCATCTGCAAAATGAGTTGGAGAAGGAAACCAGTCCAGTGTCTTTGCAGGAAAAAAACCCCAAATGGGGTCATGAAGAGTTGGACAAGACTGAATGACTAAACAACAAATAGTTGAAATAGCAAAATGAATAGTCTTCTAATACCTTTTCCTCAATTTAATTTCACATTTATTAAACATTGTGCTTAATGCTGGGAATACAAACAGAAATAAAAGTCCCTGCCTGTATGTAACCGACGAGGTTACATTTGACTTGGGGCAGAAGGGGAGGGACTCAGCACGTGCATAGTTATGCAAATACTGAATCTTTTAGTGAGAGAAACAATGTCCACCCCTGGAAGAGGCTTGGGAAAGACTTCTTGTAGAAAATGGTAGCCAAATTGAGCCTGAAAGAAATATTCTGGGAGGCAGGAGAAATAAGGAGTTAGTGCATTCCAGGTGTTAAGTGTGACTTGCACAGATAAATGCAGATGGAACCAGGAGCAGCCGGTGACCTAGTTTTGCTGGAACTTAAGAGGGCATGAAGGAGACTTATCATGAAATGAGTGTGGAAAGGCAAACTGAAGCCAGACTATGGAGGACTCTAACTGCCAGGCTGAGTATGCATTTGATCCTAGGGGTAGTAAGGGACCATTGAAGGCTATTGAGCAAGGGTTTCACAAGGTCAGTTCTCTACCTTTAAAATCATCTTGGTTGCTATGTGAAGGGTGGCTTGGAAAGGGGAGAGAGCAGTAGCAGTAAGACCACACAGGGGATTGTAGTGGTAGTAGTCCAGGCAAGAGGTGATGAAGGCTTGAACTGGGGTGGTGACTGAGAAAAGGAGTCAGATGCAAGAGGGATTTGTAGAGAGAGGGATGACAAGACTGAGCAGCTGATCTAATGGAAGAGAAAACGTGAGGGGGAGTCAGGGATGACTTCAAGGTGTCTAGGAGGATGGTAGTGCCCTCCACTGACATAGAGAAGTTGGGAGGAGGGACAGGTTTATAGGGAAGGATGCATCCGTTTCAGATGTATTGAGTTTGAGATGCCCACAGGACATTCGGGTTCATTTCAAATAGGTTTTTTGCATAGTCTATAGTTCAGCAACATTTTGTTGTTCCTGATGGATTTTCTTCTTAGGGTCCATTCTGATGTAATACTTGGAAGGAAATGTCAGAGAATGAAGTCCTCTTTTTTTTTTTTAATCAATCATCTTTATTGATAAAATTGTACAGTACATATTTCAAATACACATTTCAAGCTTCTGGATTACAAAAATGATGCATACATGATGAAAACTTACTACACAATGAAACTCTGTAAAACCCTAAAGATATACAGAAAAACACAATTTATCTGTGATGGTCAAGAGGAGATAAGTCACAGCTTTATTTATTAAAAAATATTCATCAGTGATTTTTTAAAAAAAAATAGCTGCCTCAAGATTACCACATACTAAATCTTAACAGTGCAGCTTGTTTTTCCCTCAGGTTTATTGGGATAAAACCAGAATTATTTGGACAAATCTGTTGCCAAGTCAAGTACTACTTCTTAAAGAAAGATAGAAGACAGTGTTGGGACAGTAAGTTTGAGTAAATAGTTGTTGCTTTTACTCTGGGCAATATGTGAGTCGACTAGAATCTAATAGATTCTACTGTAAGAGTAGTATTTCTTCAACAGATGATCTAAATGGAATTTGCCGTCTGTGCTAATTTGAGAGAGCATAGTTTCTACTTTGTTGTCTATTTAAATAATGGCCCAGACTTCAATTACTTCTTCATTTGGTTGTCTGTTTTGAAAACTCACATGGTGGTAGTAAACAACTTACAGTTTTTATAAAATCCAAGAAAATGAACTGTTCCCAAATATCTGTTTCAATGTGGTGGTCATAAAAATTCTGAAAGTTACTAGAAACAGATGAGCTATTCTTGATGGCTTCATTTTTGTTCATGTGTAGGTTAAAGAATCTTTAATTTTTTTTTTTTTTTAGGCAATCGGGAGTTAAGTGACTTGCCCAGGGTCACAGGGCTAGTAAGCATCTCAGGCTGGGTTTTAACTCAGGTCTTCCTGATGTTGTTCTATCCATTTCGCCATCTAGCTGTCCTGTAGATTGCCTGTCAAGATAACTGTACAAGACTACTATCTTTCCACGCCACCCCTTTCTTGTCCCTAGAGAGATAAACTTTTCTTCTTTTGGTCCACAAACCATTCCACTATTTGTCCTAGCAACCTGATCATTTTCCTTGTATCACCCAAAACCCACTTGTCAGTTCTAGCAACTTTTTTGTGGCTTTTTAATGTTTTATTTATACCTTCAGATGTTTGGAGGTTTGGTGTGTTGTTGTTTTCTTTTTTAATGTCATAGTTACTGTTCTGCCTTTTTCATGACTCAGCTCAAGCACCACCTTTTGTAGAAAGCCTTTTCTAGGTCCCCCTGAAGTCCGTGCCTTCCCCTCTAAAGTTACCTTGTTTGCTTTATAGGTGGAGTGTGCATATCTCTATCCATGTATGTATGTAAACATGCTGTTTCCCTTGTCAGAATGTAGATTTCTTTAGGGCACAGACTAATTCACTTTCATTTCTGTATCCCTAGTGCTTAACACTGTCCTAGCACAGTGCCTTGTAAGTAGGAGCTAAATTAGATGGTAATTGCTTGCTTGATCATAGTGCACAAACATAAACCCAACTGATCTGCAAAGTGTTTCCTAAAACTGTTTCATCTGTAGCATAGAGACAGCAATAAGGAGAAAGCCAGAAAAAGCTGCATCAAGATGTCATGTCAGTCCTGCCCACAGGAACCAAGAAATTTAAAAGAACAGGATAAATACATGAGAAAAAGGACTTCTTGTTCATTGCATACATATTCTACCAAAAAAAAAAACCAGCCGCTCTTCAAATGGTCTTTAAAGTGAGTTAAATTCATCTTAGTGGTACTAAAATGACTCTTAATTTATTAACGAAACATGACATAGAAACAGTGAGTTGTAAAAACAGCTCTTCTTAAGAAGAAAAGTGAGGTATTCTGAATACAGCGGTTGGGTTCTGAACCTAAGTCCTTCTGACTCCCAACATAGTTAGGGCTCATTCTTCTTGAAGCAGTGGTCTACCCATAGCAATTCCCTGCTCAGAAATCTTCTGTTTGCCCCTAGCTAGCTGTGTGACCTTGGGCAAGTCATTTGCCTTCTCTGGGCTGCAATTTCACCATCTGTAGTGAGTTCCCTTCTAGTTTTCGTTTCCATGATCTTAGTAAGGTCTCTGAGAGAATTTATTTAGAAGATTACATTGCATAGTGTGAAAGTAGACGACATAACGGCAGCTAGGTGGCACAGTGGATGAAGTGCTGAGCCTGGAATTAGGAAGACCTGAGTTCAGAATCAGCCTCAGACACTTACTAGTAGTGTGACCCTGGGCAAGTCACTTAACCCTATTTGCCTCAGTTTCTTCAAAATTAGTTGGTGAAGGAAATGGCAAATCACCCTGGTATCTTTGCTAAAAAAAACTCTAAATGAGGTCATGAGGAGTTGGACACGACTGAAATGATACAACAAACATCATGAACTGGACCAAACGCACAAAAATCCAAGCAGTACATTAAAATCTGAAAGAATACAGGAAGAAAAATAACCCAGAAGACTTTCACAGCTCTTGAACCACCTAACAAACTGTTAAGTGATCTGACTCTACTAAGCAATAGCTGATACCATAAATAAATGTGCACAGGGCTGTATATACTAGACTCTGACAGGGAAACCGTTCTTGCCCTCTTGGACCTTATAAAACAAATAGCACTGGTCTGAATGTGGAACCAGGAACATACAGAACATAGAATGAATCTATGATGTGATGATGAGGTGGTAATGTATATGCTTATCATAGATTGTAGATGAAGAGAGAATAGACCTGTATATCACAGGTCTATATGGAGGCTAGAGGGAGGGCAGGCGCAACCAGCAGATTCATTCATTATGGATCTCTTTAACTTGCTATACCCAAGGCCCGTTCATTGTCTGTGTGCCGAACAAGTCCCTGAGCACTAGAAAAATGCATTTCACCCTAGGGAGCCAGACTCAAACCCACTTTCCTAGTTTGGGCAGAAGCTCTTATTTAACTGCATTGGAAAGAGAAGAGTAATCAGATATAATTTTAATTATTTCTCATTTCACAAGAACTCGATGGGGCTTGGTCTTTAGGTTTGTAACAGATAAGGATCTTGGGAGATAATGGGGAGGGGCATTCCATAGACCAGGAGGAATGCACATGGTCCTTTTTTAATTCAAGGAGGAAAGATGGAATTTTCAGAGGTGGTGAGACACATGCTTTACAAAGAGCAAGCCAGAATACCAGGATTAGCTATTCAGAATTCCTGTATTCCAAATAGAAAGAAAAAAATTCATTCTTATGCCTGAGCAACTTAGAGAGAAAGAAAAAGATGTTAAGATTTCTGATTTTTAGACTAAACTCTTAGTATAAAATAATAGTCAGGAAAATTAAAAGGAAGTAGGCTGGTCAACTAGTAAAAGCAAGAGATAACAGACTTTCCCAGTACTGTATACACGGAATATTGAAAGATGTAGAGAAAGGCCCCCAGAGTATTGGACAGATTCTCCATAGAGGATGTATGGAAGGTGTGGACAAGAGCCACCTAAGATGAGAAGCCATGGGTGACTTGTGCTGTGCTAATGGAGAAAGAAATGTCTGCGCCAGTGAATCTGTCAGTGTTGAAATATTAGTACAAAACATATAGCTATTTTCAAGGCAGACCTATAGAAAAAGAGTAAACCACGAGGGGGAACTGCTGTAATCTTTCATCAATGACTGGTTGCAGGGAGGTGTGGGGATGTGTGTGTGGGAATTTCTATTTTCCCCCATTTGATGTTGTACGTGTCATTCCTAACAAAGACGGGCTGATGTCGTGATCTTTGAAATTCACATAGATTGGTGTCTGCAGAGTGGAAGCGTGTGTCCTCTTCTGCAGTAGGCATCTCATTGCTTTTGACCTTGTGTCTTTTGCCAGTTGCCACCAGAGACCCAGCCCCAGGAAGAAGAAGAACAGGAAGCCTGGGTCAACGCCTTGCTCGGAAGAATATTTTGGGACTTTCTAGGAGAGAAATATTGGTCTCACTTTGTGTCAAAGAAAATCCAAATGAAACTCAGTAAAATAAAGGTATTGTTTTCTTTCGGGGTAATATTCTTTGTAGTTCCATTGTAGCTTGTGAAGACTCCTCCCATACAAAAGTTTTGTACTATCATCTCCTAAGTAAAAATAACACGTGACAGAACAAAACGGAAAGGTTCATAATGCTAGTCCCATAGCAGCCAGCTGTAGGTTAAAGGTGAGTCTGACCAGGGTGGAGCAGGAAGGAGATGTGGGGCCAGGCTCGGCTCCTTCTCACGCTGCCTGTGCAGTGAGGGGCCTGATCATCACTGTTGATGCAGTGTCTTATGAAGGAAAAAGAACCAGATTGTGAGTTAAGAGGATCCATCCTGCGCCAGTCTCATCTCTGCCACTAGCTAGGTGATGTTTTGGTTGGTCACTGCCCCTTAGGGGCAGCAAGGTGTGGTGGAAGGCACTCACTGGACTTGAGTTCGAGAAAGACCCGGGTTCAAATCCCACCTCAACCCTTCCTCACTTTGTGTCCCTTGGAAAGTCACTGAACCTCTTCTAAACCTCCCTTTCCTCGTCTGTAAGAGGCTGATGACACATACAGTGTCTGCCTCGTGTGGTGATTGTGAAGGTCAAATAAAGCAGTATACAAAAAGTGCTTTACAAACCCTAAAGCTCCATATCAATGACAGCTATTATTATTAGTCCCTTCTCTGGCTTCAGTTTGTCTGTGTCTGGGAAAATGAGGGGTTGGTATTAGATGATTTCTGAGCTCCTTTCCAGCTCTGACAGCGATAAAGGATGATAAAGACTTGTGGAAGGAATGTCTGTTCTGTACTCTTGGTCTTACTCCTTCCAAGGAGTGATTCTCTTATCTTTCTAACAGTTTTTTCCATATGCAGACAGCTCTTAATTAACCTCCCTAGTTGAGGGGAGTAATAATATAGACAATCCAAACACATGTTTGGCTTTGGGAAAATGCTGTATTTACCACAGGTTAGTTTAGCTTACATAATACTTTTTTTTTTTTTTTTTTGAGCTAATGTTGAGATCCTCCTCTTCTGCCTCATCATGACATGGGAGGATACTCAGGGTTCTCAGAGGTTGTGCTGGTCAGCCATACAAGCTGCAAAGGTCCAAACAAGCTATAAAGACTTGTGTCGGCCAGCAGTGCTGGGGGTGGGGTGGGGGAAAGGGGGGAAGGGAAGGAGGGAGGATTGTATCTCAGACCTGTTTTTTCAGTGGTATAGGGAATGCTGTCTGCCAATGTAGATTAGTACTTCTTTTGCAACTTATGGTAGCAGCCATGGTAGCTATAATAGCATTTATACAGCACTTTAAGATTTGCAAAGCGAACATATTATATATATATTATATTTATAATTATAGTTTTCATATATGATTATATTTATAATTATATTATATATATTATCTCATTTGATCCTCATAACAGCTCTGGGAGGAAAGTGCTATTATTATCCCCATTTTACAGATGAGGAATCTAAGGCAGGATTTGCACTCAGATCTGATTCTAAGTATCTAACACTATCCATTGTGCCACCTAGTGATTCTAGTCTTGGAGAGTTGTCCATCCCCATTTGACAGGTGAGGAAATGGAAGCCCTGAAAAATTAGGTGACTTTCCCGATATCATTCAGATACTAAATATCTGGAACAGGATTCAAACCCAGGTTTTACTGACTCCACAGTCATTGTCCTATTAGCCCATTCAGTAAGATGGAGAAAAGTGGTTTGGGTGGGGCAGTGTTTTGGTTTGCGAGTGTTTTTTTTAAAATATATTAGTGACAACGTGAGGATGGAGTCACTGGGATTTTGTATAATTCAGGTTTAAGAGCAAGCTTTATCATATTACAGCCTTCTGCAGGGGATAGGATGCAGTTATATCTCTTCTCACACCTGGTGTGTGGAAGATCTAACTTTTGATCTTGAAGTTGCTGGTGTTTGGGCTGAACAGGGGGAGCTTGGGAAGGAGGGGCGAGTATGTTGAGCTTTGCTTGTGTCCTGTGGGTGTAAGTTAAGCCGCCTTTGGCCCGTTCCTGAGTACGGGAGAAACAGTGAACAGCAATGGAGATGAGGGCTCAGCAGCCACATTGATTCCTTTTCCCTTCTTGGGAGAAGTGTGGGGACATGTTCATCCATGAATCTTTCTCACACTGCTTCTTTTCTAGATACGTATCTGCAAACAGAAGGGGTTCTAGGCAATGAGTATGAAAAGGAAAGGAAGAGGGTGTCTTATGATTTCCTGTTCTGCTGCAATGGAGATTTATTCCTGAAATGGGGAACGAGGGAGACATCTCTTTTCCTAGAGTAATTAGATGAAAACATTAAAATGATATAGTTGGGAATAATGCATATTAACCTGGGTATGTAGTACAGGGAAAAGAGCAGCATGGTGTGTGGAAGAAAGACTGACTGCAACAGAGGACCTGAAGTCAAATCCTGAGTCAGAAATTTATTGCCTGTGTGATCTTAGTCAAGTCACCTAATCTCCTTTGCCTTGGTTTCCTGGTCTGAAGAATGAGGGGGTTGGACTAGATGGCCTTCCAGCTCTAGAATGGCGATCGCCATCTAGGTCATGATGCTACACGTTACCTAGCACCTGAAAGCTTCAAGGGCCAGCAACCTTCGGCTGTCTTCTTCCAGCTCTTAGCTGAAATACTATGTGTTCAAACTAGTCTGTCATTTTAAATGATAGTATTTTAACTCCTTCAGGGTTTAAATGGACGTTACAGACTAGGTCTCCAACCTCACCACTTCTTAGAACATTATTTCTACTTTCCACATTCCACAGCAGTTTGCTTAAAAATTAGCATTTGGGTTTCCATTTCCTCAGTGGTTGGACTAGATGGTCTAGATCAGCGCTTCTTACGGGTCATGAAAAATTTGGCAACCGTGAAAGGTTTCTGAACGTGCAACTATAATTAAAAATCAAATGCATAATGAATCTGAGGTGTTTTTGGCAGCATTTGCCCATGTTGCATCATACAACTTCGCTGTAGCCTTGGTTCTGAACACACATATGCAGTTTGCACAGCACATGCCATCACACCACACAATGCCAGTGAACACTGCCAAAATGCGAAAAGAGGTCTTGAGTGGAAAAAGTTTAAGAAGTCCTGGTCTAAATCAGGAGTCCATAACCTGGGGTCCATTTACTTGTTTTTTTCTAATGTTTCATTATAACTGGTTTTCTTTGTAATCTTACAAACTTATTTTGTTCATTTAAAAACATTATTCTAAGAAGGGGTCCATAGGTTTCACCCAGCTGCCATGGGGACCCATGACAGCTATCTTTTTTTTTTTTTTTTTTGGAAGTCCTCTTAGGATAACTAGTTAGCAAGCTAGAAAATGCCTGTGAGTACAGTCTGTCCAACAGCAAGTAGTCATAACTGCTGCACAGAGAAAGAGTCACAAAGATAAATTCCTCTTGACTACTGAACATTTGAATTTAATGGACAGGTTTCCTCTACAGGGATTGAGACCACAAGGGGCAAATTGTCACTGCCAGATCCATGTCTGTTTTCTTACTGGCACTGGTCAGCCAAGATCACTACAGAAAATTTCTTTTAAATTAGTGTCTCACTTTAATCGTTTTCCTAAGTGGAATGTTAATAACCCCATCATTGAAAATTTGTCCTGTGGGCAAATGTACGCTGAATCTTCTTCACCCCAGCCCATGAGTTTGTAGGAAGCTTGGTGCCTCCTTATCTTAGCAAACATAGGAAAATGATGGTTAGATTTTCTAACTTGTCTCCTTCCTTGTCCCCTTCTTCCTAGCTCCCATACTTTATGAATGAGCTAACGCTGACGGAACTTGACATGGGGGTAGCTGTGCCAAAAATCCTTCAGGCCTTCAAACCGTATGTTGATCACCAAGGTAATTTTCATTTGAATACAAGAGGTGATGGATGTTTGTGCTGGCAGCAGGATTTGTGCATGAGCATCAGATTGGATAACAAGTGCTTGCATTTTAAGGAAGCAAGATTTCTCTTTTTGAAAGAAACAATGTAGACTTGTTCCTAATTACTTAGTTATTTTTGATCCTAAGACAAATAAGCTTCACCTTTAAAAATATCCAGGCCCTCCCAAGTTAGAGAAAGAACTTCAGGTGTCTGATTTGCAGAACATAGCGTTGACAGTATTTGCATCCATTCTTGTGAAAGGGAGGAGAGGGAAGGAACCAGATGTTAATAGAAGACATTTTTAATAATGATGATGATGATTTAATAATGGAAGGCAACGTAGCATAATGGAAAGATGGCCAACCTTAGAGTCAGGAGCCCCTGTGTCTATATCCTGCTTCTGATACATGCAAGCTGTGTGACCAGGAACAAGTCACTTAGGTTCTCAGTGGTGTCAGGCAGCTCTTTATTGTTTAAATATATTTTTTTCTATAATACTAAAACCCAGTAATTATATTTTGGGGTGGCTGTGTGAACATTTTTCAAAATCTGGTACAATAAGGCTTAATCCATGTATGGGGTTTGTTTTTTCTTCAGTGCTCGAGGCTGTTTATTTATAATGCTTCCAAAGGCACATTATGGGTTATATGTGTTTTGTCACGATTGTTGTTACATTTGTAAGCTCACATTTTAAAATAATATATGCAGTTCTTTAAAATGTCATTTCATTTATTTTTGTGATTTTTTTCCCCCTGAAGGTATTGAGAAGCTGTAATATAACAAAATGTGTTCATGCATATGAGTAATGTGAATCTAGAAGAGAAGCATGTCAGTTTAGCCAAAAGTAGCCTTTTAAGCAGCAATAGCATGTGTTGTGTGTATGTATCCAAGGAAATAGTTGTCTTTCAGCATATAAATAAATAACTTACTTCACAAGTATTGCATCCTTTAAAAAAATAAGTATAGTTAATTAGTGTGTAGAATTTATTTACATTGTTATTTCTCAAAATTGAAATGAGCATGTGAGGACATGCATTATGTAGGATTTGGTCCCAGAAGACATGTCTATTTTGAAATATCCCCAAAACTTGGAGACTCTCAGAAGTATCACGCTTGCTGTTCAGTGGGCCAAGAGTCTGGTTGTTTGGAAACAACCTGAAGACAACTATCAGTTCTATCATTTAAATCTCTTAGTCCTCATTGGGTTGAGCAATCATGAATCCAGATGAATTAAAAGATTCACGTGCGTAAGGAGTGCTTTTCCAGCCATGACCTAACCTGGGAATTCCAGGTGAGGAAATTCCTTCCACTGTTGCAGGTGTACCACCTGTTCTGTGAAGGATTAGTTGAGTTTGTCCTGAGACAGGTTGTGTGATTTGCCCTGGGTTTCACAGCCAGTATGTGTCAGAGTCCAGATGGGAGCCCAGAGCTTCCAGAATTGAGGAAAACTCTAAATTACTGGCAAAAGATACACATCTGTCAGTGAACCACGGTGTTTTGATCTTGGGGCTAAAATAATGCAAGAAGCATGGGAAAATGCACGTAAAACGTGCTTCAGTTTTTTCAGAAAAGTTCTATTTCTACTGAATGTTCTTTTTATATATGTATATACATATACACTAAATCTTCTGTGTTACATTTAAAAAAACTTCTAGAACTTATGATTTCAGATTAAACTGTTAAATTGGATTAGGATGAAGTTGTTTCTGGCAGATTTGTCCTGCAATGAAGATTACATTATTATGGGAGTTTTTTCCTTCCTACATTCCTTCAATGTATTCATGTAAATAGAAAGAGAAGTAAACTATTTCTATTTCCTCCCTTCCTCTAATTTGGTCAAGCCCTTCAAGGATTGTCTTTTTGTTTTACCCAGAGCTATATTATTAATTAACCTTCAACCTTCTGAGTTTGTGAACAGCAGAGGGATACCCCCTTTAAGTAACTGGTGCTTTTTGAAGTGGGTATTCTATGTAAATGCAGTATATTACAAATCCTTAGAGGTCTTCTAAAACGATGTGTATCTTTTTGATTAGTAGTAACTTCTGGTGGAGAGAGGGCCAGAAAAAGGGACCTTTGGAAAGGTCCTCTAATAGCTAGCATTTATACAGTGCTTTAGAGTTTGTAAAGCACTTTACATCATTTGATCCTCGCAACAAGCCTATGTGGTAGATACCATCCCTGTTTTATAGATGAAGAAACTGAGGCCCAGGAGAGTTAATTGATTTGACCACTGTGACACACATAATAAGTGTCTGAGGCAGGATTTGAACTCAGATTTTCCTGACAGCAAGGTCAGCACTCTATAGGTCACTTTGCTCCCCCTCTGAATTCTTATTGAACATATAGCTTGTCAAAATTGTCCTTATAGGAACAGAAAGCTAGACACCATATGTAATATGGAGAATATAGATTGTTTCTTAGCATGAATCTTCTAACAAATTAATTCTTCTTTAGAGAATTGTTGGGTCTAACTTTGAAGATGTAGCTTGACACTAAGGGAATTATGACTTAAGGTGGAAAAGACTTTAATTGGTCCAAGAAGAGACAGATCTCTAGCGATCCAGTTAATTTTCTATTTCTGCTTCCTAATTGGTGTTCCTTTTTTTTATTAGACATATGGCTGAAGAGAGATTAGAGGATTCAATTTGGTTTTAGTTCACATTGGAATATTTGACCTAAGGTAGAGAAAATACCCTCTCTGAATCAGGCAGAGGTTTTGGAGAATATGAGTGAAGATAAAAGTCTGCAACTGACCCTTCAAAATCTGATTCCTGGGATATGTTCAGTCTGATGGAGAAAGTGGGCTTATCCAAAGCTCCTCTGCAGGCTGAGTTAAGACAAAAGGTCATGGAAGCTGAAGTTTTGGGGGAACTTGGATGCCAGGAAGTTGGAAGGGAACAGGGATTGGGGTGGAGAAGAAAACTGACTCGGGTGATGAAATTGTTAGGGAGGAGGGAAATTACCTTGAAGTCCATAGATGACAGGAACAAGCATCTGGACAGGATGGAGGGAACTTTAAGGAAGAGATTTGGTAATTGAGTGGTCGAGGCAGAGTGAAGGTCCAAAAGTTGCAGTGGGTCCCTGTGCCATGTGGGGTGCAGGTAGTAGATCACCTCTTTTTCTTGTCCCTGTGTGCTGGGGACGTGAGAGAAGGAGCAGTCAGTCAGCCTCGGAAATTGTGCCAAGTGAGCTTGGTCTTAAGGAGAAAGCTAGATTTTAGCCAGAGGAAAAGGTCTAAGATGGGGGCAGTTTGTTCTGTAGTGTAGTGTAAAGGGGCTTGGACTTGAAGGCGGAAGACCTAAGTTCCAACCCCAGCCTTGGTTACTTATCTCTGTGACCCTGGGCAGGTCACCTAACCTCTGAATCTCATCTAGAAAAGAGGGTAGAGTTACATGACCTTTAAGGTCCCTTCCAGCCCTGTGACACCTCAACAATATAGAAGGGCTCCAGGAAGATAGAGAAGACAGAGACGTTGGAAGGCCAAGGTTGAGTTTACTGTGGTGATTGAGTGGGAATTGGCAATAGCAGGAGTGTGTCTTAGAGCTTGATCCTGCATGGCTCAAATCCCCAGGCCAGACAGTGTATGGGAGATAGCCCACCCCAATGGCAGGGAGACCATAGGACCATAGGAGATACCATTAGACCCTGAGGAATTATAGTGTGGGGCCAGGCAAAGAAGAGGAGAGTGCCAGTTTGGGGAGTTGCAGGACTTCCTGAGGCCTGTGGAAAAAGAGCCTTGCACCCATTTGCATAGACATCTCTAACAAGAATTAACTTAACCTTCCTTGAGCCCTGTCTTATGACGTAAATGTGTTAAGTGTACAATGCCACATCAACTTTGCTCTTGTTTTCTTCCCCTTTGTTCCTATGACGTGGTACTAAATTTGTTTTGTGTTAACTGAATAGTTCAGAGGAGTGAAGCTAAAAATGATCCAAAATACTCTGCACTCTTGATCTGGGTTCAAATGCCAGCCCTTCTGCTTATTCCCTACATGGTGCCGGACAAGACCCTTCTCTTCTGGAGGCCTCAGTTTTCTTAGCTATGTACATGGGGATAAGATCATCCCTGAAGCCTCTCCCAGCTCTTGATGAATAGGTCATCAAGAGGACACCAACAGGGACCATTTGAGGTGATTTGGGCTGCCTGCTCCTCACTTCTGGGGTGAGCCTGGGGAGTCACTCAGCCCCAGGGGGCCTTAGTTTCCTCATCTCCAGAATAAACTTAGATGATGACCTCCAACACAGTTCATTGCTGCGCTAAGTTGCGGGGTGCACGTTTTGTCATCCTGGCTACTTCTGACTTGTATGACCTTGAATGTGGTGTGGTAATGATGTTGTTGGCCATTGAGCTCTCTCTGTGGGAACAAAGGGAAGGGTGGAATGACTGGTAGTAAAATATATACTTATTGAGGTTGCTGTCTAAAAATCAGGTTGATCCTTTGGACTTGTAGTCAGTCAAGCCACCAGAGATGTGGATGGGAGTGCCTGTTTTCGTGGGATCTTGTTGCAAATAATGGAATCTGGTGCTTTGGGCATGGTAAAAAATAGTTATAATAATTAACATTTATATAGCCCTTTATGGTTTGCAAAGTACTTTACCTGTGTTATCTTATTTAATCCCTACAACAACCCTGGGAACTAGGTTGTTTTGTTTGTTTACCCCATTTGGAGTTTTCTCGGCAAAGATACTGGAATGGTTTGCTGTTCCCTTCTAAACAAGGCACAGCTGAGGAAACTGAGGCAAACAAAGGTTAAATGACTTGCCCAGGGTCATACAGCTAGTGAGTGTCTGAGGCAGAGTTTAAACTCCCAGAATTTCAAGGCCAGCACTCTTTTCAGGGTACCTCCTAGCTGCCAACATGGCAGTGCCACTTTGTTTAGATTACACTCTTGTGTTAACACACTTTGAGATTCCAGGAGAGACTCTACAATGATTACAGTGCAAGGTTGAGTAAGTCACTCATAGTGAAAATGGAAAAACAATTGATTCTCATTCTGTGACATTTTATATTCCTTGATTGGAAACAGCTGCAAGTTGGTGGTTTGAAGTTAAATGTTGCATAAAACACCCTTCACACTTGTAAGAGCTTTAAAAAAAATAGTAATTACATATGTTTAGTAACACTTCATTCCGTGTGGGTTAGTTAAGATTCTGCTCATTAAATGTTCCTATGTCCACATTCTCTAATTCACGTTCTTATTCCCTTTATCCCTAATAGAAAGGCAGCCTTACTTGTCATTGTTAATTTTGTTGTGAAATCATTCAGATTCAGCACTCACTGACTCACCAGTTACATAACCAGCTCAGCTGTCAGAGCCACATGTGATCACATTTTCAGGGTGCTTTTCACCTACTGTATTAATGTCAGTGAAGAAACTTGGTCTTTATTTGCACCTGGTTTGAAAATAGACAGCCCTCATGGGAAAGGAAGAAAGTTATTATAGTCATTAGAATGACTTGCTGTGACTCAGTAATATATCGGTTGCACTTTGAGAAGACAGGATCCATAGATTTAGAGCTAGAAGGAACCCCAGGGGACTAATCTAATCCCCTCCTTTACACATAAGGAAACAGAAGCAATATCTTTTTTTTTTGGTGAGGCAGTCGAGATTAAGTGTCTTGCCCAGGGTCACACAGCTAGTAAGTGTCAAGTATTTGGTCTGAGGCTGGATTTGAACTCAGGTTCAGAGCTCTAGCCACTGTTCCACCTAGCTGCCTCATCAGTATCTTTTATTAAAGATTCTTAAGCTTTCATGCACTCACTTATTTCTTTGATATTTCAGTGGATCTGTGATCTAATCAATGTGGGTATCCCTCCCAGTGGTACGGATTTTGACCCACCCATACCTTGGCATCCTGTGTGCCTCTTGTCCAGAGAAGTGTTGTGGTATGGTGGGAAGAGTTACTGAGATCTGGATTCAGATTTTGGCTTTGATATTCACTGCTGAGGTGAATTTCAGGAAGTTACATGACTTCTCTGGACCTCATATGTAAAGTTCAGGGGTGAGACTAGATAGTCTTAAAGGTCCCTTCCAGCACTCAGCATATGATGCTGCATTCCTCCCCTCATTCCTAGAGGGTAGTTCAGGGCTTTCTTCTGAGTCTCCTAAAGTACCATAGGTGTCCGTGGCAGCACGTGGCCTCACCCCTGGGCCCTGTGACCCATCACTGTCCCTACTTGACAGCAACTCGCAAAAACACTTTATGGTGGGTACTGTCTTCAAAGGTATGTAAAACAGAGTGCAGGTGTGAAGTGTGGAAAGCCATCACCAGTCTGAGGATTCGTTCAGATCTCCAGATTATTGGGGCTATTTTGTGTAGAGCCCAGAAGTTGGTTCCTTGGCTGTCCTGCTAGTGGCCTAGTGTTCCAGTGCCCCTTGGCACTGCCCCATGCTCATTGCCATGGGCTGTGGTCCTACTTGGTGCCATTAGAGAAGCAACATGTAGGATTAGAGCTGGCAGCAGTGGAAGTAAGAAGGGCTGGCAGAGGCAGGAGAGATGAGGAGAGCTCAGGAGTAAGCCTGGCTTCTGACAACAGAAGCAAATAGGCTAGGGAAACTGAGGTAGGGATGTCTCATGTGTGCGTGTGTGTGTGTGTCTGTGTGTGTGTGTGTCCGTGTATTTTGTTGTTGAGTCATTTTAGTCATGTCTGACTCTTCATGACCCAGTTTGAGGTTTTCTTGGCAAAGATACTGGAGTGGTTCACCATTTCCTTCTCCAGCTCATTTCACAGATAAGGAAACTGAGGCAAACAGGGTTAAGTGACTTTCCTGGGGTCACACAGCTAGCAAGTTTCTGAGGCCAGATTTGAACTCAGGAAGATGAATCTTCCTGACTTCAGGCCTGTGCCACCTAACTGCCCCAACCTGGCACATAGTAGGCATTATATAAATGCCTATTCTTTCTCCTTCCCCTAGTAAGCAAATTAATTGTACCATTTGAAGAGTTAGTATAACCGTCTGGGGTGTCTTATGATCAAATTTACGAGGTCTCTTATACAATACTTGAAGTGTGATCAAAAAAATTATTGAGGGCTGGAAAGGAATGCTAACTTTAATGGGAAATTAGATGGAATTAAATGGAAGACCGTTTGATATTTTATTAGGGTGCTACATGAGATTGAGGTGATGGGTCATCTACTGTTGATGGCTTTGCAAGCTGGGGTGCCTTGATAATGAGCTTAAGTTAATCTACTTTTGCTTAAATACTGTACTATGTTAGAGGAATATTTGTAAAATATTAGCAACATTGAATTACTAATGCCAAGAAGGTTATAGAGCCAGAAATGTCACCAGGTGTATATAGGACTCCTTACCTGCCAACTCATAGAATCCACTGGGAAAGAACTTGAGAGGTAGATTATCTCTGAAGTCCTTGCCAGTTCTAATATTCTGTGATCTAATAGGATGTTCTCCATTTGAATGACATTCATTGCCAGTGGGGCAGTTTAAGTGGCAGAACCTTATCTGTAACCTCTTGCCGCCCTTAGCTGTTAGGCAACAGGTAATTTTTTCTGAAGGTTTAGTGTCTTAGAGATATGGGAGCCCATTAACATGGACTCTTTTCCAAAGGGCAGATGAAGAAACTAAGATACAGAGATTAAGTGACTCTTTTCCAAGATAGCCCAGTGACTCAGAAGTCAATTCTTACCTTCCAGTTTTCAGACTGTGCAGAAAAATCATGATTCCTGAATCTTTCCATCAAGAATCTAAGTGGCATACAGTTCAATTTCGTGGCTTTCCTTCCCCACTCCGCCTTGCTTTTATGAAGAAGCTCAGCCAGTGAATTGGGGATCAAGAGGCTGGGACTCTAATCTCCACCCTGGTCACCAACTCACTGTGATCTTAGGTGAATCACATACCTCCTCTGGGCCTCAGTTTCCTTTTCTGTAAGATGAAGGAAAGTAACTCAGTGACCTCAAAGATCTTTTTCTAGCTATTAAAAAATCTCTTCTCTCCATCAGTGTCAGTGGAGCCACCTCCTTTGAACCCTAAAATCACAATTTCCAGTGGGCTTCATGGGGAAGTATGAATGGAAAGATGAGAGTGATGGTAGAACCCCCTCCTCTGTTCTTCCGTGTGTTGAGTTCTCTTCTGTTACTCCGTGATTTGGGAAAAGTTTAACTTCCATGCCTCCCTTCGCCATCTTGGAATTCAAGTAGAATTAATTGTAATAAAGTGCTGACCTCTTAGAACCCCCTTCAGACAGAGCCTACGGGAGACATTTTGTGCATAGTTTGTTTAAAAAAAACAAAAACAAAAAAATCCAAAAAACTAACCATTAAGGTAGGGTCTATCCTGCCAAATTCTTAGCTGGGAGTAATTTTACTTGCTGCTTTATTAAAGAAGACTTTTTTGGGCAGAGATTTGACTATACTACACCCTGGAAAAGTCTTAAAAGAATGCAACGTCTAACACATACGCTAGTCCTGTCCCCCAGTGTTTTGACATAGTTCCACTGTTAAGATATTGTAGTAGAATAGATAAAATATTTATTGGCCTTGGAATCAGTAAGGCCTAGTTGAAATATAGCCTCCAACATTTAATAGCCATGTAACCATGAGCAAAGTCATTTGACCTTTTGAATAGGTTTTCTTATCTATAATAAGTTTTCTTATCTATAAAATGGGCATAATGATACCTATAATACCTACCTCTCAGGGTTGTTGTGAGAATTGAATTAGGTAATATATGTAAAAAGCTTTGCAAACTTCAAAGCAGAATATAAATGTCAGATTTTATTGTTGCTGATCTCAGTATATACCACTGAACCATCAACTCTTGGTTATCTGTGGCAGAGGACTACCATTTAATGTTTATCCCCAATAAGAAGGCTTTCCTTGTCAAACTCCTCTCCATCTTCGCTATTTATTTTTTCTATATGTTCTGCATTTGTTTAATGAGACCAGGTTGTCTTGTTCTAGTAGAATTTAAGCCCCTTGAAGTCAGGTACTATTTGTAACACCAGCACCATACACAATGCATGGCCCAGAAACTCTTGTTGATTGATACTATTCTTTGAATGAGTCCATTATTTATATTAAGTCAAAACTAAACTTTAAATGTAATTGGTTGAATTTGGTTCCAAAACCAAAGCTCATATTTTGCATGTTGGCAAGATAAGCCAATTACAGTTTATTAATCTGATACTTCTGATACTAGTGCTTTTTAAACACCGTCTGGAGAATTTATGTTGGTTGTCACTTTTAATGTCACAGGTTTCAGAAAGTAACTTTCATATTTTATGTTAACACTTCAGGACTCTGGATTGATTTGGAAATGTCCTACAATGGGCCCTTTCTGATGACGCTTGAGACCAAAATGAATTTGACAAAACTGGGTAAAGAGCCTCTTGTTGAAGCCTTCAGAGTTGGAGAAATTGGCAAAGAAGGGTAAGGGATAACACTAATTTAATAAGCAACATTCAGCATCTAGTTTGATTGTTTGAATATTTAGTTCCATTTTTAAAGTATGTTTTGAGTTGACGTTTAGTTCATTATTCAAGTAGAGGCTTTTGAATGGTTTGTCCATTTTATGGATTAACCTGTTTCATTTTATAGTTTTGTAAATTCCCACTAAGTAGCAGACCTGAGCCTTGTTATGGCTAATTGCATTGCCTTTTAAAAAAAAAAATGCTTTTAAAAAAATCAGTTCCTCTTGTTTTTACATCACATTCATTTCCAGATATATTCCTGTCCCTCATCATTACCCAGTGAGCCTTCCCTTGAAACGGAGATTTAAAAATGAAAAGAAAGAACAGTTTGATAAAACCAACCAACATATTAATGAACACATTTGAGAGGATATGCAATCTTTCACACCCATGGCACCCCACACACAAACCCCTCTGTAATAAAAAGAGGGAGATGGATTTTCTCAACTCTTCTCCTAGGTGCAAGCTGGGTCATTATAATTGCATAGCCTTCTTTTTCACTTTGTTGTTCTCTACAATTTACATTTTTGTCATTATGTACGTCATTTTCCTCGTTCTGCTTAATTTCATTCTGCGTCGGTTCCTATAAGTCTTCTCATGCTTCTGAATTCTTCATTGTTATAATTTCTCATGGTGCTGCGATATTCTATTGCATTCAACACAGTGTGTTTAGCCACTCACTAATCAATGGGCATCTACTTTGTTTCTGTTTCTTTGCTGCCACAGAAAGTGCTACAATGAATATTTTGGCCTATATAAGATCTTGCCTTCTGTCTTGACCCTTCTTGGGTTGTAGATTACATTGTTTTTCACTTTATCATTTACCTGTGATTGAATGTTTTAAGTTTTATTGATGTTCTCATTCCCCAAAGACTCTCTCCTCCCTCTCCTCTTCTATGGAACCTTCACTTGTAACAAAGAAGTTAGGCCAAACAGAGCGAACCCATCAACCATATCCTACAGCACAGATGACATTTGGCATCTCTAGTCTACCACTTCTCTGCCAAAAGGAGGGATCATTTGTTCATGTACCTGGGGATATGCCTGTCTTAGATATGCTTGTGAACACTGTGAAATCAGCCACACATGTGCTGTTGTGATCATTAGGCACTTGCATTGATAAAGTCTTTGAAGAACTGTGTATTGGCATTTTAAAAAGGAGTGTGATCAGTAACCGATGTGTATGGTTTAGGCCCTGGGACTGGGCCCCAATCCAATCAAGTCTTGACCTTAAAAGAATTGACTTGGGGTTTGAATAACTCCAACTTCAACACCCTAGCTTGGAATCCATAGCTCCACATTTTGTAGTCCCTTTTGGAAAAACCCCTTGAGTTTCCATTGAAAGCCAGCTTCCTTCTGAGCTGGTTAATCAGCTGGTTAATCATGCTTCAGGCTTGAACTCAAGATAATTGGGTTTTGTTTACTTATGAACCCAGTATAAATGCTATTCTTTAGAAATATTTCAGAAGATATTTGGGGAAGGAGGGGATTATGCAGTTGAGAATGTGTTTATTTTACTTAGATGATTCTAGTGCAACTAGGTTCTTTAATCCCTATTTCTAGTATAATAGTTACAGTGTTGTACCTACTGTTTCTCATCTAACTTCTATCTGTGCTATTTTCCTTTCATTCCTTTCTGCTGTTGTGTTATATAATGTGTTTGGACTCGGCAATCTGTGGATTTGTATTTCCTGGTGAGTGGATTTATCAATGTAGCATTTATCAACGTAGCATTTCATTCCCTGTGAGTGCTAAGTCTTGTCGGTCATGTATGAACCCATCTTAGAGTTTTCTTCCATCACCTTCTTAGAAATAAGGGTGCCACACTGTCAGCCTCAGAGCACTTAGATTGGGGGAGATTTGGAAAGTTTTCTAGTTCCTCTAACTCATAATGGTTTTGTGACCCTGAGGGTTTCACTTAATCTTTCAGTGCTCTGGTCAGCTCTCTAAGACGGTCAGTTGCTGAGAAGATGCCAAACTGCATTAATATAGGGAGAAGTGTCCTCATGTGAGTTCCCTCTATCAATGAAATCCCAGGTCTAGTCCCTATTCTACCTAGTACCTAGTACCCCTCTACCATTGCATTACGTCTGAACAGTGATCAGTGTCTCCCTCGCTCTTAAAATAGGTCAAGTATAGTGGGCTTTACTGGAGTTTCTTTTGCATCATTACAAGTAGAATTGCTTGTTTACTGAGAGACCTCAGGCAACTGTTGTTTCTAACCTAGTGATCTAGAGCAGTGGTCTGGAAAGCAGGGTGTATAAGACAGTCCACGAGAAAAAAACAACTAGAACTTTTAATTTAAAAAATAATATTTAATATCTAGATTTGCCCTAGTTTGATCCGTGTCAGACAGTTATGTGTTGGTTGGTTCAGATTAGTCCACCCTGTCCCTTGTCTTGGATCTCATGCTCATCATCCTTCTGTCTCATGTTCATTCCCACTCCCATGTTTCCATCACAGCACCCTAGATTAGGGAGCTGGGTTCACAGAAGGCACCCTGGGCAGAACTGTGTTCTCCACATGCTTAGGTCCTGTCAAGGAAGATGGCAAAGGGTTGGACCTTTGCCTAAAAGTTTAGACAGAAGGTTGATTTGCAACAGCAAAATGCTAAGGAGTTGTGGCTCACATTAGAGATTAGATTAGATCAAACAAAGCATTTAGTAAATTTACCATGTTCTAGACACTGTACTAAACTGCTGTGGATACATACTTCCCCCCCAAACAAAGACTGTCCATTCCCTCAAAAAGCTTATGTTCTGATGGAAACAGACCGTCCAATAAGAAGGAGCTGGAAAAAGGTTGCAGAAGGGACATGGGCAAAGTTGAAGAGTCCAGAGACTCAGGAGTTGAGCCAGGTTAAAAATTTCTAGATTTGAGCCTGGAGTGTTTGACACCCTTATTTTTCTTGGTCCTTTCCTCCCCTAGTCACTAAGAATTCCTTTCTCCACTTTCCTTCTCCCACCCTGGCTACCTTTTTTCACCTTTCTTTACTTTGCCCCTTCTAAGAGCTTCACCCCCTTAGACTGCTGCACCTGAGAGAGAGAATTCTAGAGGGGTTCCACAAGGCATAGCTCTATGATCTAATGTTGGGATAGACTGCCTCATTTTACAGATGAAGAAACTGAGTTCCAGAGAAGTGACTTGCTCAAGGTCATGCAGGGCATCAGAGTGAGGACTTGAACCCAAGTCTTCTGACTCCAAAGCCAGTGCTTTTTAACATTGATGAACTGAAGGACATAAAATTTAGAAAGTAGAAATTGTATTAAGAAGAGTTTAGATGGAGGCATGTTTTTTTGCTTTCTTGGCCTTCTTGACATGATCTTTCAGAACCAGACTGTCCTTTACAGACAGATTGGAAATGAATTATTCCTTCGTGTTCACAGTCACTAGCACTTCACTCTATAAACTTGAGTAAGGCAGAGGGGAATGTACAAACTCCACAATCCAATTCAGAAGGTTCTTATTAAGTGTCTGAAGGACTATATGGCATATATGCATGACATATAGCCATCAGAATAGCAGGTGGGTGATCTGATCTCCCAGCAGCTTCTAGCTTCGTAGTTTTATAGTAAATCATACATACACACACAGAGACACACACACACACACACACACACACATTTATATATATAAAGGTATATGTGTGTATTATAAATAATTATATATGTGTATGTGTATATTTGTATGTATGTATATAAGTACATATATACACACATGAATATTAAATCATATTTGGATACCGAGCATTAGTTTTTATTATATTCAGTATTCCTAGTCACATAGCCAGGCTATATGGATGCAAAGACAAAAGTAAAACCACATTGCCTGCCCTCAAGGAGCTCCCATTCTAGTGGAAGGAAACAACATATACAGATAAGTAAATAAGTAAAAAAAATATTCAAAATAAATACGGCAGAATTTCATCAGTGATGAAGGCAGAGAACCAACCCTGAGGAAGTCCAGAAGGCTTCTTCTAGTGTATAAAGGATATTGTTTTGATTTACAAGGTTTTTTTTTTTTTTTTAGCATTAGGGAGGAAAACCTCTAAGTGTAATGAGATAAAGAGTAAAACCCAACTTTTTCACCACCCATTCACTCTGTTGGTTTTAGAAATGGCATTTATTAGGTTCATATGATTATAATGTGTAAATCTTCTGTCAGTCAGCTTGATAGACATCAAAGCCAAGTATCAAAATAAAACTAGACTTTAAAATAGTATTAAAAACCCAAGATTTTTAAAAATAATGAAACCTATTGTTCTCACTAAAAATATTTTAATAATCATTTTAGTGGGAATGAAAGGGATTTTATAATACCACTAATAAAATAAAAATCTGGGGCAGGTAGGTGGTGCCTCTGGAGTAAGGAGGACCTGAGTTCAAATCTGGCCTCAGATACATAACACTTATTAGCTGTGTGACTCTGGGCAAAGTCACAATCCCAATTGCCCCACCCCACAAAAAAAAAATCATTTTAATTTAAGGTCTCAACTTCTTGTCAATAGAAGGTTTCTCGTCCAAAGAAAATACAAGGTCCATGATTCTATCATGTCCCTTTTAGCAGTTCGGGAAAAACCTATTTCCAGGGCTACTTTTTTCTAAAATTAAGTTCTTCATGCATGCTGAGCTATTATCTATCATCAGAATCTCTTGGCAGTGAAGTTCACTTTGGACCGAAATTGATGATGCCTAAGAAGAAGTCTAGTGAAGGCAAAAGCATTTATCAGTGTCCAAGGAACCCTCCGAAAAGCATTTACTGCTCCTGGAAGGCTACCATGATCTCTGAGAAAATTAGTCATAAATGTGTGTGGGTTACTGAAATGTTTTCACACTAGATTTTCCTTGGTAATTTAATTTTGTGCTATTCTCCCAGTACATTTCAGATTCACAAGAGGAGGTATGTCAGATCACAATCTTAACAGTGATGGCATTGATTACAGAGTGGTGCCCTTGTGGA